CGAGACGAAGTCGAGGTTTTTATTCACGATAATCACCGAGCCTGAGGTGAATAATTGTTTTAGTATAATTTCATAGGTGATTATTTGGAAAAAAGTAAAAAATGCACATTTCTTCGTCATTTAATTGACAAAACGGCTTCGACCGCCATTTTGAAAATCGCTTAGGTGATTATCGCGTAATAATCACCTCAACAGCAACCAATCAGCGGGGAGAATTTTCAATAATCACCTATGTAATTATACTAAATGGCAATAAGGGTACGTCAGTCTTACTTGTCAATGTCAGAGAGAATATTCTGCGCATTAAGCCTGGTTCCCCATTTAATTGTTTCCTTCAAGGTGACCAGTGTAATTGGTGTTGATATATATTTATACAGTCAGTAAAGACAAATGATTTTATTCAATACATGAAGAAACCTTTAGTTTTGCAGTTTGGATGTACGTAAAACAAATGTTTTTGTTTTTTTGACATTGCTAGTTCCTGCCAGTGCTGATGAAACAATGAGGGATTGTTCTGGAAGTACAGCAGCTGTTTGTACAGCAACTCAACTTTCCACAGGAAGTTTACAAACTACACCATTGCCTGGATGTGAATGTAAGTGCATGGTTTAATGTATTAGTGACTATGGTAATTAATTACCATGGTGATGGCAATGGTAGCAATTTTACATTCTTTAGATTGTACCACCCTAAGTACCGGTACCGATGTCAAAACACCAGCAAAAAGTTCATCTGGCTCAAGCAGCCTTCAACTAACAATAATCATTGTTTGTGTAATCCTGCTGATTGTGATTGTACTATTGGTCGTAATATTCCTCCTGTATCGCAGACGAGCACTGTGCTTTGGTAAAATGAAACAGCGAAACACGACAGTGCGTGTTGAACTTCAGAACGTAGAGAATTCACAGGAACCTGCTTATTAACGATAACCTGGGTATCCCAGAGTATTCCAGTGTTGGTGAGAATCATGATGATACACAGCACATGTTGTCTCCAGTTAAGACGAAATCGAACGAGTTTGTTCCACAAACTGGTAAGTATCATAGAGTATAAGATGCTGTGATTCTGAATTACGTTGAAAAGATGTACAATAGGAAGTGTTTTACAACGTTGTTGTCGTTTGTGTTTGTGAAATATTTTTAAAAATATTAAAAACTTTTTAAAGTTTTGAGTGAAGGCCACGATCAAAAGTTGATGGCACAGTAGGGTTTGATTCCTGTAATATTATGCTGTTGTCTGATAATTTCCCCCTCAGTTGCATGCGAGAAGAATGCCTCCAGTTTTATCTCCAGGTAGACCAGTTTTTGTAGCAGCGAGTCAGCAACATTGGATGAAAAAAGGATGACCCTTACCCTTACCAAACTGACATATATGTAAAATGTCTGCAAGTATCTGTCATATATCTGTTGCAGTACTGCAGCATATCTGCAACAAGATCTGCAAAATATCTGCATAAAAGTTGCAGATATTTTGCAGATATGTTGATTATCTGTCAACATATCTGCAAAATATCTGCATAAAAGTTGCAGATATTTTGCAGATATGTTGATTATCTGTCAACATATCTGCAAAATATCTGCATAAAAGTTGCAGATATTTGCAGATATGTCAATTGTCTGTCAAAATATCTGCAAAATATCTGCATAAAAATCGCAGATATATGTAGATATGCCAATTGTCTGTCAATATACAGGTATCTCAACTACACAGTAAAAAATAATTTCTTATTGAGAAAACAATTCTTACTGCAAGAAAATATTTGTTGAAGAACATTTTTTGAAATAAGAAAAATTCTCTTAACATATCTTAAATTACATTTGTTTTCTTGAAATATGAATGTTTTCTTACGATTTTGTCATCTTCATATCAAATCATTTTCTTAACAAAATTTTTAAAACAAGAAATCAAATTCTTAACATAAGAAATAATGGTTAATAATAAATTATTTCTTACTTATTTTCTCGAAGAATGAAAATAAATTTGTTAAAATTTAAATATAACATCTTTTGCAATTTTTGCATTTTTTTTCCAAAATTATATATTTTTCCTCAATATTCTTTTAAAAAAAAAGATGTCAAATGTCATCCTGGATTTAGATTCTATATGGGTTAGTATATTCACTTTAACTGTAATTAGCCTTTTCTCAAAAGAGATCACAGTGCATATTCTGGGGTGATTTGGAGGGACAAAATATATGGAGACGGGCATCAAATATGTGAAAGAGTAGAAGTATCTACTATCAAATATCAACTTTTTACATGACCAAAAATGAAATATCTCCTTTTTACATTAAATTTTAATTTAAACGTGTGCTGCCATATTACTTGTCCCTTCAACAAAGGATTCGTGCGACTAGACCCAGGACTTTGGGAATAGCTAATTAAATATACAAATTCTCTTCTATCATATTTATCTTTGTTAATTAATTTGTTATTAAAGTAAATTTGGGACAAAAATATTGTGTTTTCTTTTGTATTAAAATGCTACATTTGCCCCTTTAGGAAAGAAGACCTTGCCCCACCCTCTTTCCATCATCCCTGATATCATATAACTAGTAGTTATATGGTATCAGGGATGATGGAAAGGGGGTGGGGCAAG